ATGTACCAGTAAAATGAAAAAAATCTAGTTGCCAAATAAAGACATTTAAAATATTTAATTCATGTTTAAAATATTAGTTAAATGTAACGATGAAAGAATATATATATTTAACTCATTTTTAAATGCACCTTTTAAATTGAAACAAAGAGTATTCTGTTTATATTAATGCAGGGTGGGGCTTCATTATATCTAGTGGGATTTGATTAGATTGTGCAAAGTGGGCTGTAACATTATTAATGTTGTTTGCTAATTGTATAAATGAACCCCTAATATTAAAGTATTTTGCTTCTATTAATGCCATGAACATTAAATAATTAATGACATTTGAAAACTTTTTTTGCTTGGAAAAATGTGTGCAGATGAATCCTGCACAATAAGACCAAGAACTTTTATTAAGAATTTAGATTTTCCTTACATTTTTCTCTTTTCTTTGTAGATATAATGTCATGATTGAGTGTTGGCACCCTAAACCCGAGCGCCGGCCCACCTTCTCAGAGCTCGTGTCCCGCATCGCTGCCATCTTCTCCAGCTTCAGCGGCGAGCACTACATCCTCCTTAACACCACCTACGTCAACATCGATAAGATGACGCCCTACCCCTCTCTCATCTCCTCTCAGAGTAACCTGGACCGTGACTGCTGCACCTGAGAGACAAAGACACCAGACAGAGGGAGGGAGAGACAGGAGAACAACAAAAAAGCCATTGCTGTTCATGAAAGACACTGGACTGGCTGCCAGGGGCGGCTTTCATCATTAAAGGAGGAAGAAAGCGGCCCAAGGACACTGTGAAAGACTTAAAAGACACGGACACTCCCTTAATCGCTGTAAATAGATTATGATGAGCCTTGACCTGTGGAGTTAAGGTTCTCCAGTCGAGCATAAGATGGTCCTGATCTCCTGGGACAGAGATTGTGACACCACTGCCGTTGGCATCCCATTAACATTTCATCTGTAGGGTTGCATTTTGATGATTCTTGCAGTTTGTGACCATCTGATTCATTCATGCTATTGGCAGATGCTTTCAAACAACTTCAAGATGTCTCAACTTGTGTTCTCCAACGTTACCTGAGCGTACTGTACGTTGACCAATTTATTTTCTGTGAAAAGTGTAATAAAACGTTGTGCATGCCTTCATACTATGAACTGAGCGCAGCATAATGAAGTTTTCAGGAGAACACTGGACTCGCGTGATGTTTTGAAGAACATCGAATCTGTCAATGTTCTTGTGAGGCCTATACGTCTGATTCAGACCGATATGAATAATCTGATTCTGTTTTGTTTACTTGTGTTCAGATCATTGTTTTCTGTCCTGGCATTTGAATCTTTCTGACAAGATTTCTTCCGTAGTTCTATATTTTTATATAATCTGCTTAAGTTTAGTGTCAAAGTGAACATACAACAAGGTTCACATGGAATCTGCGCAGCTTTTTCACATTTTCACAACTGATTGAGTGCATAGACTACACATGCATATATCTATAGAGATATTATAAATATATGCTTTTTATATTTAATATATATTTTAATTATTAAAAGTATATATTTACACACAGATAGATAGATAGATAGATAAATTGAATGTTCGTGTTTATAAATTTTCAATTTATATATATATCTCTATATATATATATATATATACACACTTACACACTAGGGCTTTTTTTTCTTTCTACATGTTATCTTTAGGGTTTTTCCATTGTTTTAATTTTAGTTTTAGTATAACACTATAATACCATTATATTTTTACTTTTTTTATAATTAAAAGAAGAAACCAATCCGATGTATAGTTGACATTTGAGGCTTAATACTATAGAAAAGCACTAAAGGTTTTTCAGTTAGAGTGTTTTCAGCTTGTTTATTTTCATATAAAAATACAGCATGCAGTTGCATCAAACAATGGTATAAACATCATTCAATGTAAATTGTGATAATCGTAATTAATAATCGCAATTACAATTTCAAGGCAATTATGATTTTTGTCATAATTGTGCAGCCCTAATACACACACATGCATATATATGTAATTCTGCATATGCACACACAAAATATACTATATAGAGAGAGAGAAAGAATGCGTGAGACTTTGTGAACAGCAGACGCAGATTCAGTGTGGGCCTGTATGTTTCTATGTAGTGAAGATGACTATGAATGTGACTTGCCATAACGGACTACTGTATGATGTAAATTATTTGTCTCTCTATCCTTATTGTCTGACTTGCTGTGTTATACATGTATATATAGCCTATGAACACAGTATAGACAGTTTGGTATAACAGTTAAATAAGGTCAATCAACATTTCATTTTATCCCTATGTGAGTGAAGTTCTAGTGTTGTTACAAATGATTTAAAAAAACAGGCTGAATCTTGATTTGTTTTATATCACGGTTTAGGTTTCACCATTTATGAAAACCTTTCTTTTCTTTAAACCTGTCAAGACTGTCTTCTTAAGATTTCTATATGGAGATCCAACTCAGAAATGGTACAAATGACAATATTTCTGTCGTTCCAGTCATGATAATAAAGTTTTATTATGTGTGTCATATATGAATGAACTCTCTTTGTGCTGTATCTAGCAAATGTTGTCCTCTCTGAAGTCTCCATTTCATCGGCTCTGTTTGAACTTTGACCATGACCTTCTGATTACCCTCTATGCTCTTGACTCGACCCTCAACCGCTGGTGTCTAGACAGGCTTTTTAATTTCCTCTTATGGTCTCTTTTCGAAAAGAAGTGTAACACTACCTGTCTGAAAGAGTAGTGCAGCTAAATGAATTACATATTATGATTTACAGATACCACATACAATAAACATCCTCTCATAGATATTAACACTTTTTACTAGTCTGCAAAGTGTTGATGAGTATTACAGCATGGCTATTGCCTCACTTAAGAACAATTTGGCTAACATGCATTAAATGTATTCAAAAAGTAGACCTGCAATGCAAAAACCATGTGTAGCCTTACTGTTGCTTTATTAGATTCTGAACTTGGCTGTCCTAACTTGAGGACAAATACTAAATCCCTCCTCATAACTCAACACTAATTCATAAGCTAATGTGGAGGAGGATATGACACTGTTATTTGTTGTCAAAAGACGCTATTGTAAACCTGTGACCTCGCTTTATGTGGAATGACTAGAGTGCCACCTACTGGACGAGTTATAGCATTCGTGTGTGTAAATATAATAGCTGGCCAGGAGAGCAACTACTTTTTGACTGTGGCCTATTGTTTCAGGATTATGAATCACTTTCAGTAAAAATAAATTACCTTGGGCCTTCATTGAAGGAATTAAGACAAGTTACACAAGCAGTGAGGTAGTTTCATGAATAATATCGCTCGCGGGTATTACAAAAACAGACGGAAAATCCGCCCCAGTATGACGTTCTGTCTCAGCTCCAAAACGACCAGCACTGAGAGTTTAAAATCATCCTGAGATGACAGTTATGAGCCACTTACAACATAGTAGTACATTCCATCTCTAGTGCTACTACCCCTCAATATTAATAAAACAGGTTGGGTCATGTTTTGTCTATATTTTGGGGGCCAAATGTCCACACAAAGATAGTACGTGAAAACAGCTTCTAATTTTGTTTTGGGCACCACACAATAGTTCACATAAGAAACAGGCTTAATAAACAATGAACAGCCTAATTGCAAAAATCTAAAAAGGTTCTGTGAGGGTTACATTTTTAGACAGAGTTGGTGTAGTAGGCTATAGAAAATATCTGTCAGTGGAAAGTTTGCAACAAGTTTGCAACACATTTACATTTACATTTAGTCATTTAGCAGACGCTTTTATCCAAAGTAACAAACAAATGAGGTACACAATAGTATTGTCTCGCTAAAATAAAAGTTAATACTTTTCAGACATGTTATGAAAACAAAATTAAGTCTAAGTAAACTAAAAACTATAAGCAACTAAAAATGTCAATATATTTACTAGTTGGGTCATCAAAATTAAGTATGGAGCCGTAACTCTCCATTTTATAATGGTTAACTCCAATTTTATATCAGTGAATTATTGTTGTTGTTTTTATTGATATTAGCCTATTATTCAAATTAAGCAACATATGCCTTTTTTGTCATTTTAACTTTGTCTTCTTCTTTTCTTAGCATATTAATGCTTATTTTTAGAATATTTTTGATAATCGTAATTGTATCCTTCTTGGATCATTCAGACGACAATCACACTTTATTTAAAGATGAATGATATCTTGTCACAATCATAGACTGTAAAAAAAAATGGACGACGCATCTCCTATTCCTTCCAAAAAGTGAAGCCAAAGCATCTCAGTATGGCCGCTGCCATCTTGAGTAAATGACGTCATTTGGAGCCAGAGTCTGCGCAGTAGAGATTTGTTTGGAGCCAGAGTCTGCGCAGTAGTGTCGCGAGGTGGAGCCGCGGTATCACTCCTGCCCAAACTCCAGCAGACACAATCAACCATAACAACATGCTATACTCTTTGGTCACAATCAGTATCACGGAGTGGACTTCATTTTACGGTTGATGAATTACACTTCCCATAATTCCACTCGCGCTCTGAACCTGCTCCGGTTTGCTGTCATTGCTGTGCGCTGCCCTGCCCTCGTGATGTAAACATTTCTATCTATACAGCGTTTACTATTGCAAGTAGCCTTTAGCATTTTGTTCTAAGGCGTACTTATGTAGTTTAGTCTTAGTTCACACTAAGTGAAGCTTTAGTTATGTTTACTTGTGCAGTTACACAGCGGTTATGTCACGGTGTGTGTGTGGGTTCAGTGCAGAGATGTTCAAGACTCTTCAGCAGGGCTTTGATCTCAGGCTCTCCGAGCTTTTTCAGATGCTCCTGCAACTGCTAAAGACTTGAAAAAACCTGTAAAGCAATGGGAATTATTAGTTAATCCTTTCTCAAATGTCATTTAGGCTGTAATATATCCATAAAATCACTGGATCCACATGCTTTTCCTGAGGCTGATCGGGCATTTATTAGTGTGCACGTGACAGATGCGAATCAAACTGCTAATGTGGACGGGTTTCATGTTCATTATGATGATCAAAGTAATTAATTTAAAGGGGTCATATGATGCGATTTCATTTTTTCCTTTCTCTTTGGAGTGTTACAAGCTCTTGGTGCATAAAGAAGATCTGTAAAGTTGTAAAGACTAAAGTCTCAAATCCAAAGAGATATTCTTTATAAAAGTTAAGAGTTAACCACGCCTACCTAAAACGGCTCGTTC